GTGGTGATGGGCCGCCTGGACCAAAAAATGCCAGGGCCGATTTTTTGTCCCAGTCCAGCCCTGGCGCCTACTCACACGTTTTGAGAAACGCATGCAGAAACGAATGTTCTTAACCTCACATGTAGAGACACCCTCTCAAAAGTTATAGTTTATAACTTTCAAAGTTAAAGTTATACATCGTCATCGGGAGACGCGGCCCTGATTTTTTTAAACATATAATTTCTCCCGTAATTTAAGCATGTGCAAAAATTAGGGCTTCCATGCTCGCTTCTTTGTTCTCGTTAAAGGGTTAGTTCACCCCAAAATGAAAATTCTGTCATTAATTACCCTCATGTCGTTCCAAACCCATAAGATTTCCGTTCATCTTCAGAACACAAATTAAGATGTCCATTTTTCCCAGAAACAAGTTGAAATGTGGACTCATCTGACCACAGCACACGTTTCCACTGTCTTTTTGACTATCTGAGATGAGCTCTGGCCCAGAGAAACCTGTGGCATCACTGCATAGAATTGATGTACAGCTTTCTTCTAGAGTAACAGAGTAAATGCAAGTTGCATTAATTGATGCAGCGGCAGACTGTGTTAAGTGACAGTGGTTTACCAAAGTACTCCTGATCCCACGTAGTTATATTTAACACAGCAGCATGAAGGTTTCTTATGCAATGCCATCTGAGGGCTCAAAGGTCAAGCACATTCAAATGAGGTTTCGCGACGATGAACGAAGGTTTTACGGGCTTGGAACGACATGAGGGTGAGTAATTAATGACATAATTTTCATTTTGGGGTGAACTATCCCTTTAACTTCTTTCTCACGTGACACGAAGCTGCTCTGCAGTCTGTAGCATGGCAGTGGAAAGCCCACGTTCTTTTAGGCAGTAGCAAGTGCTTTAAATCTCAAACCAGATGATTTAGAAATATGTCTATATGTATATATGGACTGGTCATAGCTAGTTCGCTATAGCGCTGATGTCCGTCATTGTAATGTTATTGTGTTCTTCTGTGTACATTTTATAAGAATAATAAGTGCAGAATCACTTACAACGCAGCGTGAAATCCGGTTACATATATTTATTATTCTTCACTTTCATTTATGAAGTTGGACATCGCAATTTCTGAAACCCTGCCTCACTGTAATCATTTATTTTATTGCACTTAAATTCTGCTTAATAACATGTCATCAATATATTGATTTGTAAAACAGACGTTTGCTTCATTGTCTTTGATGTTATAAGAAGAAACAGTTTCTGTTATCATTCCAGAAGCATCAATATGAGTGTCTTATAGGCCTATAGCCTAATAGTCTCTATATTGTAGAAAGCAAACTATGCAAAATCAATGTGTAGGAGGGGAAATATTAAAAAAAATGTAAAATGCTAATGAAATTTAGTCTGTATATCTGTGTGTTTATAACAGCAATAACACTAGTGTCTATATATTTCAGTGTCGTGACAGCATCATTTACCGGAATCTGTATTAGCAGCCCGGCGCCTTGTGCGGCTGTCCAAGGTGCTGAACAGGATATACGCCCTCTCGGCCGTCAGAAGCTAGTAATACAACTAAAGAACTTTTGAATGAAATGTTGAATTTTGAATGAATATTCAGAAGGTGTTTTAGCAATGTTTCACTTAAATTAAGTGGATACTTTAAAGAGGAAACGGGACAATATTATTTTTAGCATCATAATTGTTTTTATCATCAACAGCCATGTCAATGGTACACCTGAAAAACTATGTGCACATGTAGAAATATTTCCTTCTTAAATATAAGCATCCATTACCTACATATAAATAATTCTCAAATCCTGGACAAAAACGTGTTACATAATGCTCACAAAATAGGTGAAATCATTATAAAATTGGACGGAGAAGACAACATGCAAATAATATAGAAAATAAATACAATGTTTTGCATCCATTCCCTTTTTCCTCCAAAGAATGCGCCAGTTGTAACTTGTAAAACATTATAAAGACTCGGTGAACTACAAGGGGGATGTGGTGTATGTTTATCTAGGACGTCAATACGTTTTAACACTATACAATTTGAGCCACAAAAACACAGCTGTAGAAAGACACACAAAACGTTTACGTAATCCTGTCAACAATGAAGTATGTACTTGTGCCATTTTGAAGAACAATTTGCCTTAGATTAATAGTAAATATGTAGATGAATAGTGGCAGAGCCCCTGGCTCTAAGGCTTGGTCAATTTATAGGTAAAAATATATAACAGAGTGCCACATTTGGCTGTATTTTCTAATACAGACGTGTAACTTGCGCTATTGGTACGTTTAGAGTCAATGTAAACAAATAATTATGGCGCCAAGATATAATGACATGTATAATGACACTGAATAATGACATTGTATTCATGAGTCCTTGGTGGGGTTTCTTTGCAGCAGGAGCGCGCATCGCAGTCTATTGGTTAGTTTACTTGAATTCGTCAGAAATTATGTCGACGACCACATACAAAACACAATGTGTATGATATTATTATCCAGCTTCTGGTGTAAACCAATAGCATAGAAAGTAGTCGAATGAGGACCAGAGGTGGCCTCTTCTTTCTACGCCAGTGGGTAGAAATACAGGGTTCTCTCCTTTTGGCATTCTCCCTTTTCCACTTATCGGTTGTCAGTGACTAGAGTAAACGCTTACTTGTTTGTTTGTTGAATCTCGCAGTCGTCGTTTCTTTTCTGCATCAAGCACTAACTCAGAACATGCTGGTCTTTACTAAAGTGGCTTTGGCTCCGTTCTGTCTTTGTAATGAGGACAGAACACTAGCGAACGGTCCGCCCAGAGAGTCCGGAATGGAGGTGATGGTGCCCGGGGCTGAAGCCCAACCTTGACTCGGCGCAGTGCCTCCCATTCCAGCCACTGACGCCTTCACCTGTTCAACCGGGCCGTTCCCTGTGGCGCTGACCTGTCCGCCGGTGGGACTTGGTCCACCACAATTGGAGGTAGGGTTTGGGTTAGGTCCGGGCCCACCAGTGCTGTCAGGATCGGTTGCCTTTGCCTCTTTGCTGTCCTCCTCTCGCGAGTCAGATTTCTTCCCAGACCCGTTCTTTGCTGCTGCAGCTGCGGCGGCGGCTGCACGCTCTTGTTTGCGAAATTTGGCGCGCCTGTTCTGGAACCACACCTGTAGAAAATGCACATCACATATTTTAAAACATATTTTATATTACATTGTTCGTGTTTCATTGTACTTGCATTACTGAGTAATACAATCTATGTCATTATTTAGTACGAATGTTCATTATATTAATAAAGAAAAGTTAATATTATTATTACTAATGCACAACTATTTTTACATTTTGAAATTCTATAGCATAGGAACTATGGAGTGCTACTCAGTTCCTAAACCAGAAAAATAAAATAAAATAAAATAAACATAAAAATAAAACACTAAAACGTAATTGCACTTTTTTTAATGTTTTCTGTTGCAAATTTTAAAATGTAAGAAGTCAGTGGAGGATATCCCACCTGCACTCTAGCCTCGGTGAGATCGATCTTTAGCGCGAGCTCCTCTCGTGTGTAAATGTCTGGGTAGTGAGTCTCAGCGAACACGCGCTCCAGCTCTTTGAGCTGCGCGCTGGTAAAAGTTGTCCGAATGCGTCTCTGCTTCCGCTTCTCATTCAATCCTCCGTGGTCGGTAAACAGCTTGTAGGGGACTGTTCAAATGCATAAGTCAGATGTTAGCCATTTTTGTAAGTATAATTGAAAGAAATTGTATTTAAATGTCACCTTCATTCTTTTGAAGTAATACATGTAACTTGTTGATTCACATATCAAGAAATGAAAATGAAATAATTCAAATAAAGTTTCTAAACTAAGCGTGTGCAGTGGTTACTCGCATCATAAATTGTTTAAGATAAGATAACATCGTGATAAAAGATAAGGTTATGATGCAAATCCCGAGTCAGCTGTATTCTGCTATCTGTGAAATGCTGTTAATTAAATGTTATTGGAGACTGGATTGGAGACTTGTCATAAATGCTTCTGTCTCTTCTATTGTTGCTACTGCAACTTCAATTCAGTGTCAATAATGAGCTTAAGTCCCTGGTTATTTCATTATTTTCGAAGGTTTATGTCTCATCGCAAAGTAAATAAATTATGCCTATCATTTTGGCAGCTTAAGATAATTTTGTTGGCGGTTAGGGTGTGACTGGGATAGTGTAACCCCGTAACTGAATTACCTCTTGCCTGCAATCGCTTCTAACGTGATAAATTCTTTCATTTGTGTAAGCAAATTTCGTTTGGTAAATACTAAACACATTTCCATTTTCGAAAGCAATCAAGGCGTCCTATATACCAGGGCCATGATTCTTGTGCCTCTCAGCTGGCGAGCTAAAGGTGACTCTGGGCTTACCTGCGGCGTACGGACTGCTCTGGTGGTCCCGCAGGGTGCCCAGACTACAGGAGCCCGGTGTAAGCGACGGGCACCCGGAGGTGGCCCCAAACGTCGTCCTGATGGGATTGTACTGAAAGCCACTGGCTTGACTGCAAGAGCTGAAGTCCGCATAGGCTGACGCCAGGCTCGAAGTGTCCATCCCGGCCATACAGGACTCGTAGGCGGAGGAATTGAGGTAAGAATACTCCATTTTATACATTGAAAAGGCTCAGTGGAGAAGGAAAGCTGCACTCCCAAGGAAAAATACACACAAACGTCAAATTCAAATTGGATTAAATTGGCGAGGAGCACATGAAGAAAGCAAGCCAAAACGCGGACGAAGTTGGGGAGCTTGTGACGGCTGAATTTTTACTGGTTTGAAGGAGGCTCGTGCCGTGGGTAGATGTGCACTGCTCGGCGCCTGCTCAAAAACTGCCCTCCTTTATAGGAGCTGAGCCTTGTTTTATGAAAAGCCTCCCAAGGAGCCGCCTAGCCCCAGGTCTCTAGAGCATATAGTCCTCATAATAAACTTGGCTCTTTCCGCTTGGACAATAGCACGGCGTTTGGGTCTTATTGCTAGCGCTTTTTTACATGACAATAACTCATCAGTCTATTGGGCTGGCACTGGGGGATCGGGCTGCCCAACCTCCCTATCATTGATCCCCTGCATCTCTAATTAGAATTTAATACCCCACCATTACGCGCCAGCCCCCTCCACCACGTATAGCCCTCTCGCTCAAACCGCCATCTTGCCCTTTAATTCAATCACACCACTTGGAAATAATGAAAGTTGGGTGACGATTCTCCCTGATCCAATTTTCCCCAAGCTTTTAAGCCTTTAAACCGGTGGTATACCTTGGGCTGAATTTTCGATAGTATTTCCCCGTCTCCTTTACTTTTTCCTCTCTCCCTTTCTCTATTCTTTTGCACGGCACTGCTTTGGCACTCCCTGGTTTTCAGGAGCTAAAGAGACCATTGTGGTTATCATAAAAGTTACATGCTTAATTTAGCAGGATATATAGCTATACAAGCTGTCATTCTGAAGAATGCAGCCGGAAATGAGTGTGGAACGCAAATATTCGTGACGCGTTAGTAATAGATTAATAATAATAATAATAATAATCATTATCATCATCATTCGAGCAATGGACAACTAAAAAGTTTGGATGTTAAACTATAGGATATTTGACTATATACTTTAACAAACACGGCTTTAGGTAAAAAATATGTCTACCGCATGCACAAATAAGTTAAACTTGTTCGTTTATGTTGTCTATTTTATTTATTGTATTGTCGTTATTATTGCTTTTATAACGAGGGTACCAAATTCGCAAACAAAAAGAAAAACCTCTTATCTTCCAAAATTGCCTCACAACATAGACTTTTCAAATACTGAAATTAATTGTTATTATTAAACTATATTCTTTGAAAACAGCTAAGAATTATTAGCTGTGGCTATACAACATTTTTTGATTACAAGTTATAAAACAGGCTTTGTATATATTTGAAATACACGAAAGACTGAAAGAAAAGCGCTTAAGCGCGACAAATTTATCAGCCACAGATGAATTCTCACGTGTTTCTCACCGTAAAAATATTCAAGGACACAGCCTTTGTTATTGATCGTATGTAAGGCATGAGCAATAACAAATAGTAAATCTATAAACGTTCAAAACAGTACTTAGTACTTTAGTACTTGAACTAAAAGATTGATTTACAATAATACTTCCTATGTGGCGTTTAAATAAATAAACAAATACATACATAAATAAATAAAAGGAAATAAGAGAAACCGATGCACCTGTGGTTATACAAACTAAAATACGCTCTGGATGCAATATGCAACAGAGGGATAAAACGATTATTAACATTTATGAGGTCACTCGAATGAAAGCATCAAGCGTTTCGAGTTTTATAAAAAATATATATATATTTTTACCATTTCTGCACAGTTTAAATTCTCTTTTTTTCTCCTTCAGTCAGCCTCGTGTTTTTTTGTGAGAAAGATAAATGACGATTAAAAAGTTCAGTCATTCTTCATACAACCCGGCCCCTATTATGTTAATTTTTTCTTTCTACACGCGAGTTGTGACTAAAAGATGTAGCAAATGGTTAATTTGATTACTGAAACCAAAGACCAACTGGTCCACCGTCCTCCCTCCACGCGCCTAGAAAGGAAAAAGAAGGCATCGCAAGGAATTAATCTAATAACATACAAAGGGCCGAGAAAAGTCCTTTCTGATATTTTGCCGAGGCAAATACAATTATAGCTTTTACCATCCGTTACCCCTATTCAAACAGCTCTTTATTCTCATGATCTGTGGTCCACCAGCTACCGAAACGCCCATCTTTTATATTTTCAACATCTCCTTTCATACTATCAACTGGTTCTGCGATCTGTTGGGCGGACTAAAATGTCAACGTTAACCCTTTGATATTACTGTTTGAATGAGCGACCTGTCCACCTCCAAGTTTAAAGAAAACACGCACACAAGTTTACGGGCTCGCGCGCAAACAGACGCACAAGTTATTCTAAAGGATGTATTTGGATCCACTTGGCTATAATCTGTGATAAATCAGTTAAATCAGCTTGCAATGGCATAATATCGTTAACAGGTCAATAGCACGAAGCATTCTAAATTAAGCCCTATTCTAACAGCAAACCGTAAAACTGTATGTTGTCAGTGATTAACAGTGTGATAATGGTTCAATAACCTTAATTTAGAAGGTTATTTGTGATTTAATGACTTATAAATAACAGCGTCCATATGGCTTCACTTAAATAAACCAAATGACTACGGGTCTCACAAGATCCTAAATCTTTGGTTGCAAAGTGGCTGACAATAGGGGTGTAAGTTCAGAAGGCTCGGGAGAGACTTCTTCATTTTCTGCACGCCTGCTCTGTGTTGCTCTGTGCTGGTGGGGCTCTGGCCCCGCCGAGATCCTGTGCTCGGAATCAATTACGAAATTACTTCAACCTCTAAGTCGACATTAACGGGAGAAGAAATGCCATCGACCGGACCTAAATAAGATTTTGAAAAGATGTGATTATTTAATCTCTTGCCAGTGTTTAAGAATTTGATTCATAAAATTGTCCAAAATGAGATGGAATTAAATTCTTATCGGAGTCCCCTGTCATCGTTTCATCCCGTGCTGTGTAACGCTGGTTTAACAGTGACCCTCATTCGTTTCCACCAAATCTAGCACTGTCCGGTGGAAAGGAAGGCCTACATTGAGTCTCAAAATGCTCTCATAATAAAAAATATGGTCTTGGGCATAGCGCGATACCGTGTATCTGTTATTGATGTCATTTTTGTCATGCATTTAGCATTTGGTGTTTCACTTTCTAATTACGCTGAAAGTTGAATGCGAAATAATAACCACTTTTAACAGACTTTGTTACTGTTTTAATGAAAATGCATAAATCTAAAATAAAACAGATCTATTTTAGTACCTCTGTTCAGCTTAAGTGATTCTTTTAAGTTGTCTATCAAAGTTTACGAACCATAGTTGTTTATTTTAACATGACTTAAGTAGGTCGGCAAGGTCATTCGTACAAACGAGGCCAAACGAATGAGTGGGGGCATATTTTATTTAACACACTGGCATTGTTGTCCACGTTAAGCAATTGACAATTATTAGCCCCGATCTCATAAATCAGCCGGTAGGCCGTTATAATGGTTGAATAGAATGGCCGATGAAGCTCGGGTCACTGTCATTAACCAGAGCCCGTCTCCACGAGGCTACACAAGCAGGCTGGTCGGCCCCCCGAAGGCATTTGGGTCTCTGTAGGACCTGCTGGCTTAATATCGCCCGTGTGCTGAGATAAATGCTTAATCACACATGCATTAGCGGAAGACAGCGGGCTATTGTATGGAGCGAAGGTTTACTGGAATTAAGCGATTAATGACCAGCTACGTTAAAGGGGACACAGCAGCACATCAAGAGTGATTGAGTGTTTTTTAATGTTTCTTTTTTTTTTAAATCCCTTCTGGTCTCTAATGGTCTCCTTGTTGGCCTTCAAGTTGAATCTCAATTACTGTATGCCAAACTAACCAATCTATTATCAAATGCTACATTTCCCTTTTCTCTCTCCTTTGCCTTTTCTGTATGTTATCGTGGATCTCTATAGATAAAATATTCAATTATGAATACAATATAAGGCTATACATTTCTTCTGGTGTGTCTAAAAAATTCAATAGCTTATACACAAATAAAATCACAATTTCTTGATGTACTTATCTATTATTTTCTTGGTATCTTAAAATTCTTATTCAAAAACTTATCAAGAAATTCTATATTATATTAGTATCTGCTTGGACAGGCACTGGCTCCATGTCCCCTCAGCACAGTCACTGATGGATATTGTGTCTATCATTGGGAAAACAATGACCGGCATTCTTCTGTCTTTATATGTGACAATAAATCATGTGATCCGTGTCATATTTTTGAGTTTTGCATTTGTCTTGATATTAGGGCTCACAGAACTAGCGATCTTGAACATTTAAACCCACGGTCTGGTAGGCCTGGAGAGTTTTCTTCCTCTTGTTTCCCTCTCTTGTTCCTTTTTTATAAAAATCTTTATTGCATTACGCCACGATCTCCATACATTCAACTGATGCAAGAGTCCACAAGTGATTGCTTGAAAATAAGTGAAAGCTATCCTCTCACTTAGCTGCTGATTTTTTTTCTTCTAATTTTCTGAGGTGCCCTGCTTTTAAACCCCCCCTGCATTATTTCGTAAGTTTGTTATAGCAGCAGTCTAGCCACCTTGTGTCTCATCAGCATCACTTTAAAATGTGATGAACCCGAGCTGATGGTGATGATAAATCGCGCGGTCAGCATTTTCTTTTTAGACCAGGAAAGAGTATAAATGAGAATGAATAGTGTGAGGCGAGGAACTGCTTTGGGAGTCGACGGTGTTAAATCAACCCAAACTTATTTAATGTGGTTTAATGGAATGGTTCTGCCGGGAGAGCTGATGAATTACTATTGTATTCCCTCCACCTGCTGTTGCACCGTGTGATTTTATTCTCCACATTAATAGCTTTATTTTTTTAAGATGTATAATGATAAAAAAAACTATTACAGTAATAAGGAGATAAAGCTATTAATGGTAGACACATGTCCTAAATAATTCTGTGCAACTATGTTTCTGTTAATATGACAAGGTTGTGCATGAGGTAGGTGTATGAATGTGCCAAATGTTTTACTTGTTAACCTAGGCCTATATCCTAAAGAAAAGGAACTTACATTTTATTTGAAAGTGGGCTGGGATGATTATTTACTAAATGGTATCTTTAGTTTGCTACACCTCATTCAGCAATATGGTTAATTTTAATAATAATTGAGAGGGGGGCAAAGTATTTTCATTCATATCTCTATTGATTTTAAAGCTTTATTAGAC